ATTTATTGATATTGTTGATTGAGCATTTTTATAGAGCAAACCGGCTTTTGGTCTTTTATGGAGGTTTCGCCACTGACTCAAACTATGTATGTTGTGCATGCACATCCATCTTTCTTGAAAGTGCTTTCATCCGTCCATGAAATATTATTTAGAATATTCGGGTTAAAATCGGGTATAATCCCGTGGCAAAAGCGCCTGCACTTATTGATAGTGATAGGGGTGGTACCTATTGCGTTAGAGCACCCTATGTACAGTTGTCTCAGGTATTTCTGTCAGTAATGCAATGTTACGTACAGAAGTTCGAGGATCATTTCGAACTTGCTCCAAAACTTCGTCTTAAATGTCAGTTCTTCTCTATCACGTGCAGGTACTGCTTTCTATGGATATTAGGTCTGAAATCGGCCAAACCAGCGTGAAAACGAATTATTTTTCTTAACATTAATCGAACGGACGAATCATTTAAAAAAATATCTAATTGAGTAATTTGCACAAAATCTTCCCTCTGCCAGAAAAAAAATTATACCACAAAAAGTTGAAATAAAAGTACTATGGCCGTAGAAGGGAAAGGGGAGATCTCCCGCCGGGCAAGGTGTTCTGCCTGGGGAGCGGCCAACACTCCGTGTTCAGAGATGTTCTATATATACTGTTTATGATTCAGAATTTTGATAGCACGATTTAGCCTTCCATGTGTTTCGCTTGTGAGGCGACGACAGCGCCGCCACATCACCCCCCCTGCTCAGACCGGAGGTCGATAGTGCAGCCTCGTTGCCGACGAATGTGCAAGTACCAGTGGATTGCCTTATAGTCTGCGGTGAGTCGAGAAGAAGGCAAGTAATCTGCGAGAATGCCGTGAAGCAGAGGCGAGCAGTAAGGCTCAGAGCCATGCCGAACACTGTATAGCGCAGAGAGTAGCTAGAAGGAACAGGAAGGATTATTATTCCAGTGCTGCGATGAACCTTGTGAAGCTAGCTGGCTTGCAGGATATGAAGACTGCAGACGATATCTGCTCGGGAGCGAATTTTTTTTATTTATTGATCTCTTCACAACTTCTTACTGGCTAGTTAACAATAACAATGTAGTAAGGACCTAACGTTGAGGGAGACTGGTGCCTATGATAGGTTTTATAATAAAACCTGAGTTACAGGTCACCAGGCCCCCTCTCGCGGATTTTACATAATATACTACAAAGTACAATACAGAAAGCAAATATCATATAAGAGTTATAAAAAGTTACATGATAGGCGAATTGTAAAATTCATATAATGGTGTGTGTGTGTGTGTGTGTGTGTGTGTGGTAGTGCGTGCGTGCGTGCGTGCGTGTGTGTGTGTGTGTGTGTGTGTAGGGAGAGTGTGCGCTAATAAAGCGATCCTGATGCTGGAGTATCGTTATTGGAGGTTTTAGAAATTGTTATATGAGTAATTTACTCGTTTGAGAAAATCAAAGTATTAATGTTGGGTTAAAAGAAGATTCTCAGTTTCTTGGTAATTAAGGGTTTTTAAGAATTTTGTCAATGTTATTTTACAACTAGATTTGGTTTTTTTGTTATAAAGAAAGGGTCCCATGAAACAGAAAAACTTACGTGAAAGAGCTGAGTTGAAAGTTTGAGTTTTGCAAATTATATCTTTGCGGCGCTTATCTTTAAGAAAATCTGGGTTATAATGTAGATGAGAATGTTGTTTAAGTACGATATGCAGGATGAAGGTTTGTCTAACCGTTAGTACATCCCATTTTTTATACAGCTCGTCTGTAGGAAAATGGAAAGGGAATGGGTGGGGTATTCTATGACGATGATGAAGCTTGAAGTTTCCGAAGATTGTTGGTTGCGTGTTCAGATCACGTTGAATCTGATGGATTGTCACCACTGTGGCCGTGTAAGGAAAATGGGAGATCTCCCGCCGGGCAAGGTTTTCTGCCCGGGGAGCGGCCAACGCTCCGTGTGATAGTTCGGAGATGTTCTATATATACTGTTTAAGCTTCGGAATTTTGATAGCGCGATTTAGGCTTCAGTGTGTTTCGCTTGTGACGCGACGACAGCGCCGCCACAGTACCAAGTATTATACCATTTTGAAATCTACATGAATTGCGCCATAGAATACTATAATACATACGTAATAGAACGGGGGAGTGGGCGGAGCCCATGTGGCTATACATACTAACATGTCACTTACATGTCAATTCACACCTAAAAATGTCAACACCATCAATCGTTTCCAATTTTCATGTCAGCGCAGTGACGCTTGCAAATTATTTAAAAAATGGCAATTTGTGCAATAATTATGTGTCGAAAGAACAGCGGAAGAAAATGAAATTTAAATAAAGGATACGTATCCTACAACCAGTACGTCGTAACTATTTATATTTTGTAAATATTAGAAACAAAAATAAAGAAATATTGATGTGTCAAAAACATTAATCAAGTCTAAAATGTGTAAATTCGCTCAGTCTGTCAATACAGTGAAATCGGGTCTGTAGTAGTGATAATACAACATAATTACTTGTATGTGTGCTCCCGGAGACACCAATCCTCGTACAAAATAATGTTAACAGCCATTCTATTGTGTATTATAGTATTCTATGAACTGCGCCAACTTTTGAATATAGTTGCCAGGTTACCTTGTATAAATTTTTTAAAACTGAGTAGTGCCATTAAAATTACTAATCTGTCTTTTTAGTTTCGCGTCAAAATGCTATCCGCCATTCTGTTCAACTCGTGACGTCACTGTCCAATAATTTTGCCGATTTTGCGAAAGAATAAGATACTTTTTAATGTTTAATAATGAGTTATCATCTAAATCATAGTTGTGTTGTGCCTGAATGTACGAGCATAAGAACGCCGGGAAAGTTATGGATTCAAGTGCCAACTGATTTAAATATAAGAAATACTTGGTTAAAACTGGCAAGAGGATAAAAAAACAAGACTATTCTTCTGTGAAGATCATTTTGATATAAATGACTTATATTTAACAATCGTTTATACTAAACAAAACACCATGAGGTGAAGGGTATAACAAGAAACTAAACTATGATAGCTACTAAACCTTGTTTATTCAAAATACACTCTAACCTGGTATTGTTTTTGTGTAAACAAAAGTTGGTAATACCTATTACCAATTAAGGTAATGTGAGTACCTACTCACATTGATGTTTCAACATTCCTCAATTCAGCCGAATAAAAATTGTAATTGCATGCAAAAAAATTTGCCACCATCAATTCATTTATCCTCTGTCTTGTGTACTTACTGCTTTTACGAATTCGTCTTCCATGATGCCTTTTCAATAAAATTTGGAATAAAACTCAATAATCGTAATCTTGAAACATTTTGAAATAACACCGCACATTATCACTACCCTATTGCTTACCATCAGGTGGAATAGTAGTTGGCTGATCATAGTTAAATAAAGTTAGTAGCAGCAGTACTTAACCCATATATGCCCCGTGATTCGAAAACGAAACAAGATTTTGTACTTTCGTAAATCCATTGGAAATCCTTTGCTAGCGCAGTAAAATGCAAAAAATTGCAATCTAGTGCAAGGTTACGGAACTACCTTTTGTTTGCAACGAAGCGTTTTGAGTAGCGTTGACACTTGATTTAAATAGTCAGTAGTGCAAGTTGTGTCCTGTTTTACGTCGCGCAAAAATCATGTCGTCTCCCAAAAAGAAGTAAGTACTTGTTCAATTGAGTGAAACTTTGTACTTTTCAAAATTTTGTAGTAATTTTAGGTAAATAATGATCTTATTCGTATTTTTAAAATAAGTAAATACTATATAATAAATACCTATTACGTCTTTATAACTTTCCGTGTTTCGAAAACGATACGTTGGGCAAATATACAGGTGAGACTTTTACTAAATCTGTTTTTATGTTTTAGGTGGAATACGTCACGTAACTACAAATGAAATCGTTGATATTATCAATGATTTAGCTTCGGATGATGAAGCAACAGCAGCTGACATTTATATCAACCCTCCGGGTGATGGACTTGTGTCAGATTCGGACTCGGGGGACGAAAGAAACGTAAGTTTTGAAAATTTATCACGTCGTCAACTTTTGGCACCTGCTGAACTGACACTACATGGAAAAAACGTCAGTGACGGCAGCGAGTCTGAAGAAGAAGCTTTAGGCCCAATTACGTCACGTACTGTGACTGACTCACAGTCTTTATCAAACCGTAGGCGGAGCCGGTCATTGATAGATAATCCTCCTTTTCCACCTCCACCGCCACCTCGATCGCCTAAGGTAGTCCGAAAATGGGTAAAACGAGACTTATCCCAACTTCATGATGAGTGGATTGCACCATTACCTAGATCAGTAATTACCTTATCCGAAGCTTCAGAACCAGTTGATTTCTTTGAATTGTTTTTTAGTCACGAAGTTATCATGCACATTGTTCGTCACTCTGTTATTTATGCAGTTCAAAAAGGAAACCCAGGGTTTACCCTCTCTGATAATGACATTTATTGTTTCATCGGCATTTTGATATTGACCGGATATTCTCCACTGCCGCGACGTCGGATGTATTGGGAAAGTAACGAAGACACACACAATATCTTAGTGGCGAAATCCATGCGAAGAAACCGATTCGAAGAAATTCTTCGGCATTTCCATGTGGTCGATAATACCAACCTTTGCCCTAATGACAAAATGGCTAAAGTCCGCCCACTTTTTGATTTACTCAATAAAAAGTTTCTGCAATATGCCGTAATCGAAAAGAACATCAGCATAGACGAGTCTATGATACCTTACTATGGTAGACACGGATGTAAGCAGCATATCAGAGGTAAGCCTATTAGATTTGGCTTCAAAACATGGATTGCAGCCCTGCCCTTAGGATATTGCTTATACGCCGACCCATATCAAGGCCGCTATGAAACTTTTATTACCGGGTTAGGACAATATGTTGTGCAAAAATTGATGACCGAGATTCAGAATGTCTACAAGAAACAAGATTCTCTGTTTTCTGCGATAACTTCTTCACATGATTACCTCTGATAACGGCAATGAAAGAAAAAAATATTTTAGTGACAGGTACAGTACGTAGTAATAGCACTGACAAGTGTCCTTTGAAAGATGAAAAATTATGCAAGAAGGAACAGCGAGGTTACCATGACAGCCGGCGCGATCTAAACAGCGGCATCTGTACAGTGCGCTGGAACGATAATAGTGTAGTCACTCTGTTATCCAGTGAATACGGCGTGGAGCCTATACGAACTGCAAGAAGATACTCAGCTGCTCAAAAGCAAAGAGTAAATGTACCACAACCTAACGTTGTGCACCAATACAATCGTTTTATGGGAGGGGTTGATCGGTTAGATGCAAACATTGGTACCTATCGAATGGCAATTAGGGGCAAAAAATGGTATATCCCGTTACTTTTCTGGTTGATAGACGTTGCGGTCAACAATGCTACCCTACTAGCTCGTAATTTCTCCAAAGATATAGATACGCTGGAATTTAGACGTAGCATTGTCAGAACCTTACTTCAAAAATATGGCAATGATAAGCAGCATCCGGGACCTAGCAAACAGGTATACATCAGTACAGTAAACAAATGTACCTACATCAGTACGAAAGCATAACGCTGAGAACATGATCGGCAGGACACCAAGTAGACTGCGATGTGCCTATTGCAAAAGCCTTACAGTCACTTTTTGTCAAAAATGTAATTTACATTCTAAATGTTTCTCTGTATTTCATTCTTAATTTTATATTGCAATTTAGTGTAAAAATAGTAATAAGTAATAAATAATTTCATTATACATCTTTGTTTTAATTACTTATAACGAATGTAGGATATTTGCCCGTTGTTTCGTTTTCGAACACCCCTAAAATACCTACTTACCAAAAATATTTTTTACTAAAATTAGTCAATACTGATATAAGGACTTATCAGCATAAACATATCTTGAAATAATCAAAATCAGAATTCAAAAATAGTTCTGGGCATATATGGGTTAACCAAATGCATGTGACAAAAACATGAATTTGTGATGTAGCGGCACTGCAGCTTTTAAATGTACGGCTCTACTGTGCCCAAACAGCAATGGTAGCCGTATAGGAAGCTTTAGGTCGTTTAGTGAGCTAAAGATGTCTATATGCTCAGACTTTCTCTGCTGATACTTCATAATGGGGATATTCAAAGTAGAAACAGAGTAATTGATATGGCCCAACGGATCAGTAAGCTAAAATGGCAAAGGGCCGGCCACATATCTCATATAACCGACGACCAATGGTAAAGAAAGATTCTCTAGTGTCAGCCTCGCAACAGTAAGCGAAGTAGTGTAGGGCAGCCTCGACTAGATGGAGTGATGACCTGGTAAGAAGTCAATAGTTGCAGGTGGCTAAGGGCCGTGTTTTGCGGCATTCCTTGAGGCAGGCCTATATTCAAGAGCCGTAATGATGATGATGATTGCCATTATTTTCCTTTTTTTATTGAGTAAACAAAATTGTTCACAAAAATTAATAAAAATATTGTAATTAAAAATATTTGGCAACAGAAACAGAAACTTTTTTATTCAATGTAGATTATAACAATACCTATTGAAAGTCACTTTTTTCATTTAATGGCGAATAGCCCTCCCCGCCATGGGACAATCTACGGGGGGAGCATGTGGACTTTTAATTTTCGCGGGGCAACTCGGCGCGCACGGGATAGTGGGCGAGTGGAGTGTAGTGAGATATAACGTATATTTTCGTTGAACGCGCCATTTCCAAACTGAAAAGTTGCGCATGATCTTAACTCGCCGTTGCCAAACAACGATTCCCTCACCCGACACTTTCTCCTTACCCAATTTTGCAGTCGTCCAAGTGACCTTTATATTCCAAAGCCTCAAGAGCATGATGGCAAGACGTTTGCTACATTTCTTTTGCGTCGGTCTCTTGGAATTAACCCAACGCAAGAGGTCTTTGACAAATTGCCATATGACCTGTATTGCCCTGGCCTGAAGAACGATCGTCAGCAGCTTATGGGAAGATCGTGCCAGCGGTGTGGACTCTATTTCTGTACAAAGAATACGGTAAAGGCACATGTACATTCATGTCACAAGCAACCTACTAAGCCGAGCAATAACAATCCCAGAGATGCACAATGTTCGTCCTTCACGCATTCTCACACGACGATCGATCGGTAGATCGAAAGAGATTCTCTGCATAGTGCGCAACAATGATGACCCTGTGGCTTGATGAAACAGACATTGATCTTCAACACAGCAGTACTAACAACTGACTTGCAAGATGCTTATCCACTTAAAGAATGTCTCACTAATCCGCAATGCGAGGAAAATGTCTTTTAAGTATATTCATGTACCTGGTACAATTATATGTTTTTAACATGATTACGATCCTTTATTATTTTTATACCAGTCAAAAGCAACCTGCAACCTTAATATCTGTCTGGACATTTTTATCATGGTCCTTAATTTTCCAGCATAAAATTAGATTATTATTTGTATTTACAAATAATATTTTTAAGACACTGTACCAAAAAAAAAAACAGGTGATTTAGAGTAAGGGAGGAAGTATCAGTTTAAAACCTCCTCATGTATCATCAGGGGTAGGGGAATGGTGTAGAAATTGTTAAAAACATCTCGTGATTTATAGACTCCTATGATGTCTGTAGTATGTCCAAAGTAAAAGAAAGCTTAAAAAATTGTCACTTATGTTATAAATGACTCAACATTTTTAAAAGTATATTTTTGTAATACGTTGGATTCTGATTAATATGTAATGTGTAAAGGCATTATAAAGATGATATTATTAAAAATTTATTTCTTACATATAATAAGGTTTTCTTATCCTATGAACTACTATGAAACTAAATATGCTAAGTTATAATAGCTAACTTAATAATTTCTCACAAAACTGTATACATAATAATTATTTTTCTGCGAAGACCTTAATTTCTAAAGAGCGTCAGCTTTGTAGTGGGATAAAAATGTAAAGCATTACATAATAAATACAATAAATACTTAACATGAAACACAACTGACATACTCAATAGTTATCTTCAGCGACATATATAAATTATAATTCTTTGTAAATTTCATCACATTGTTTACAATTTACAGGTGCTACAGATCATAAGTAAATTTCATATTTTATTTGCATTTGAATTGTCTTTTATTGTCCACATTGTAAAAAACTTTTTTTAACACTTTACACTAACACGACTATCATTGTGTTGTTTCAAAAAGTTTTTCCCGAAAATATTTAATTTTTTGTGCAAAATACGCTTCTAATCCTTCCGCACATCGGTAAAATTCAGAGTCCTTTGGATTAAAATACCGACAGTTATCAAAAATTTTAGTCATGTCACCAATAAATTCACTTAACATACTATAAGTTTGTTCATTCACTTTTCTCTCCACTGTTTGCAGATCTGTAAAATTGAACAATTACAAATTTATTAAGACAAAAATTATGAACAAGGGAAGTTCAGCCGCAAGAATCATACTTGTATCGCTCAGACTTGCAATTTACTTACTGATCCGTTCCAAATTTTGGGATCTTCTTTTAATTTATCATAGAATGCTTTAATTATTGATGATTTTTTATATTTTTTAAGTGTTGCTATTATACTTACAATATCTTTGGAGTTTATTTCAACATTTTACCTAAGTTTTTGCCATTAAAAAAATATATATATTACAACTTTAAAGTCAATGTTTGTCAAATAAATTTTTTTGACATTGCATTATACTGCATTTTACATTGCAACACATTGCATTGAAGAAAAAAATCTTCATGATATGACAGCAACCGTGTTCGATCCCTGCCAGTATAACAGAAAATATTGATAGCAATTTTAGGTGCTGGTTTACAAAGAGCTCGACGAGTGTAAGAAAACCTCGTGAGGAAACTTAGATATCTAAGAAATTAAGAAAACATTTTGTTTGCAACAAAACATTGAGGTAGCTCAATGGATTCTTACTTTCAATGAAATAACGGGAAGTCTGTATCTTGCAGTGGAATACAATATTAGGGGTTAAACTATGAAATCGGTATTTTATATTTAAAAAATTTATCGCTTTTTTCATGGGTCACGATTTCATGGGTTTCAGTAAACACTCACAGTACACACAATATTGACCTCATTTGCAACAAATCGGTAAAATAAAAAATATAGAAATGAGTGGACCCATGAAAAAAGCGTTCAACTGTTACTCTGATCTCTCTCAAGTCAAAGACTAGGAAAACGATTACACCAAACACACATAGTGCGTTCGTTAGTTGTATTATCTCCAAAAGCAGAATTGATATTGCGAGCTGTCTTTGCTGCGTTAGTACCACATGAGTAAAGAAGCAATACAGAGGCAAAACAACCACAGAGTTGTCAGAGTTTTTACCTATTTTGGTAGGGTTGACACTGGAGGAAAATATTAAATAAACTAAACGTTTATTAGCTTTCTATTATGTATTAAGATAGAATATTTTTTACAAACTGCGTTCTTTACATATTTTATTTTCATTTTTTGTTTTTGAATTATTTGTTGTGCTTTTTAGATGAATGGTAAATTTTAAATACAATATAAAGTGTACAAGCTTGCACACGTTTAAATATATCAACTATCAATTTTAACAATGATTATTTCGAAATTAAAATAATCGCGAAGTTTTTGCAAATCAACATAATATACTAAGTTTGTTGACGTTTATACGCTTGCTTGAGTGTGGTAACTAGAGTCACCAACGATTATCGGCCTCAAATTGAGTTTGGTTACACAGCTACCCAAACCAAACCACAACTACCTACATAGATTAAAAATAGATAAAAAATCGTTTGCGTTCACGATGAAACAAGTATTTAGGCATAACGGGCATGAATTCAATTACCTTTTAAATAAAAAATATATGAGACACGAGGCAGGCAGGTCGAAAAAAAATTATACGTCATATTTTGTATATATAATATGAGGTATTTATCAATCACATTAAAATACAATTAACTTTTTGTGTTTGGAATAATTAAAAACATTATAATTTAATTAACTTAAATTGCTTTAAACAAGTTACAATATTATTGCATAAACTATTAATTATAATTATTAATTGTATATAATTATCCATTCAATTATTGTTTGTACATAATTTAAAAATATATTTCACACAACAGTAGACTAATATTTACACTTTTTCATATTTCATTTGACACGAATTATTCTTTAAAAAATGATATTTGACAATTATTATTCTTTACGGAACTCTAAATTTAAGCACTGGCCAAGCCGGTTTAAAGCAGTTTTTCTCTGTATTAGTGACGAGCCGCCAGTGCTCACGCACACACGCGCCTCAAGCTTGTAGAGTACATATCGCAGTACAGTCATAGCTCGGTTGTATGAAGCTTTGCCTCTGTACGGTTTCTTTACTCATGTCGTTAGAACTACGTTGGAAATTCGTATTCGAAAATTAAATTTAATGTATCCACGTTTAAATTAAAATTAAATCAAATACTGAATGTAAAACAATTGAAAATTAGAAAATAGAAATTTTTAATACAGAATTTTCATTAATTTTTTTTATTATAAACCTTGTATGATGCAGGTAATTATAATCCAATGACCACTCCATTAAAACAACAACT